CGGGCATCAGAACAACCCCGGATCAGTCATGGAAGATCACGTAAGTTCTCGAGCAGCAGCAAGGACTGTACTGAAATTCCACACATTGTTAGGTAGGGGCAAAACAGTCTTTTTACACCTATTTTTAGAATTTCTTTTAATTAAATTAAATTATAATTATCTTCAATTCTAGGTAGTTTTTAGGCATCCACCCATGTTTGAGCCCAATTCTATATAAACATGCAAAGCCAAATTGTAAAAAGACCATCGATTCATTTCTTCCATCATTCAAATTTTTTTCAATTTCTTGCTTAAGTTCATGGGTGTGTCTTGGAGAGAGAGAGGAGAGAGAAGAAGAGGGTCGGTAACCTTAGTAAAGTAACTTTCTCTCTCCTCCCCTCTTTCTCTCTCCTCCTCTTTATCTCTCCTCTTTTTCTCTCTTCTTCTCATTTCTATATCTCTTTCTCTCTCTTCTTTTCATCTCTATCTCTTTCTCTCTCTTCTTCTCATCTTTATCTCTCTCTCTCTCTCATCTTCTCATCTCTATCTCTCTTTCTCTTTCCTCTTCTTCTAACACAATCGGTGATGCCTGACGCCGTCAGTGTCCTCTCTTTCCTCTTCTTCTAACACAGCCGGCAATGCCTAGTGCCGCCTGTGTTCGCTCTTTCCTCTTCTTCTAACACAGTCGGTGATGCCTAGCACCGGCTGTGTCCTCTCTCTCCTCTTCTTCTAACACAGCCGACGATGCTCAGCAATGCTATGTCTTCCCTTTCCTCTTCTTCTAACACAGCCGATGATGCATAGCACTACTTGTATCCTCTCTCTCCTATTCTTCTAACACAGTCGACGATGCTCAGCGCCGCCTGTGTCCTCTCTCTCCTCTTCTTCTAACACAGTCGGCGATGCCTAGCGACGCCTATGTTCTCTCTTTCCTCTTCTTCTAACATAACCGGCGATGCCTAGCACCACCTGTGTCCTCTCTCTCTTTCTTGTCTAACACAGCCGGCGCTAACCTATCGCCACCTATGTTTCTCTCTTTCTTTTCTTCTGACACAGCCGGTGCTAGCCTATTGCCGCTTATATCCCTTCTTTCTCTCCCTTCCTTCTCTTTCTCTCATTCTTTCTATTCTCTTCTTCTTCTCTTATCTTACTTCTTATTCTCTCTCTATGATCTCTATCTTTTTTGTTATTCTTTTGTTTGATTAAAAGGGGTCGAGATTAGCCTTTCATGGTAGTCTTGTCGTTTGGCAGTAATGTTGTTATTTCAATCAGAGTTGTTGTGCCCTCTTTACCACAACGATAGACTAACCATCGGGTCTAGCTAGTCAGTATTGGTACTATAGTCTAGTAGTATTTCTGTTGAGACAGTCTAGTTACCGAGCCCGTTTTACTGTCATGCCAGGTCAATTACCTGTCAGCTTGGTCACTGTGTTGATCTCCTTGCCTGGTCAAATTCCTCTCTCCCCCATCTCTCTTCTCTCATGCTTCTCTTCCTCTTTTTGGATGTGCACACCCGCGTACATTCACCAAAAAGGCAAAGTGAGGTCTATTGACTCACCTGTCTTATAATATTTACCATATGTGTGTGATTGCAGAAAACATGAGAATATAGGCCAAAGGAGGCGATTCCGAACTAGTTTTACTACTGGGGGGCTTTCTTCATGATCTAAGAGGGCACCCACGTGATCCAACCCGAGTAAGTCCCGAACCCAGCTTAAATTCCTCTCTCATCAGTTGGTCCTCCTGCCCTTGTTCTTGAACGAGGTTCTCGAGAGAGCGATCTCAAAGTCCCGGGTCTCCCTGAAACTCGAGACACATGACGCTCGATCATCCTGATCCAGAGGGCGAGATCGAGGCACCTAACCATGTAGATTGGGATCCACCACCATCCGTCAATGCATATTTAGATGAAGAGCAAGATCTTGTATGAGATCCAATCTATAATGATAATCAAGGTTTTGTGACTGAATCGGCATTTGGTGAGGAAAAAGATGAAGAACTCAAAGGTAGAATTTATAAGTGAAGTTGTTGGTTTAGTCGCTGATCTCAATGATGCACCTGGCATGTGTTCTAGAGCTGAGTCTGAGCAAACTCAGCAGGGTTATATAGCTAAAGTGATGCTTCAACAAGTTTATGTGATTAAAAATATCATATCGACATACAATGACCCTTTCCTTGAGGGTTTTCCAGTTCTAATGTACAATCATTGTGTTTTAATTAGTGCATTAACCCATAAGTCCTAGGATCATGTTTACAATATTCAAGTTGAAAAATGTTATCGGACTAGCGCCAATTTCATCTTAGCACACTTCAAAATTCGAGGACGAGTTTTTTTCAACCAGGGGAGAAGGATGGAGGGCAAAAAAAAAAATTTATTCAACTTTAAATGATGTATATTTTAGCTTTAGTTTTTGAGTTTATTTCTAGGATTTTTTAGTTTTTTAGGAATTCTAGGGTTTTTATAATTTTTTAATTTATTTCAAGAGTACTATTTACAAGTACTATTCATGAGTATTGTTCACGAGTACTGTTCACAAGGGCATAACTTTCATTACGAAATTAAAGTTTTAAGTTATGATATATATGCCATTTTAATCATCTTACGGACATATAATATCTGTGAATAAGAGGTGTGTGGGGGCCTTTAGATGGTCAATTCCATATATTTTTAGAAATTGAAAGAGAGAAAAGCTTAGGCTTTCGTAGTTAGGGATATGAAGAAGAAACCCTAGGTTTCTTCGACTTGTGCTTGTGTTTGGCTTGTTCCTTGCTGATTTTATTGTTCCCTAAAATTTCCCTGCATCAAATTGGTATTAGAGCCGGCGATCTACAATGGAAGCATTGTAGCATTGCATGTAGTTACTGTAGCAATGTATGGAGTTACAGAAGCATCATGATTTTGGTGTTCTAGGTCAACAACAAAGCGGGGAAGTTATAGTAGGGGTCTGCTGTTTACTTATTTTAGTTATAGTTTTACCAAAACAACTTAAATATTGCTGATTTCAGTAGTTTTTGTTCATTATTTGCCTAGGGTTCGTGATTTCAGCAAGCCCATGGCAACGAGAAGAGGCTGTAGAAGGGGATTTTTGTAGATCCACTCCGTAATTCTACAAATGACAGAATTCAAGAACTTGAAATGCAAGTAAAGTAGTTGGCGTAGTAGTTCGTGGGCCTCAATAATGGGCAATATGGTGATCTTTCACCCCAAGAAGATCTCGAGTACAAATCTTTTTTACTTTTTTGCTCTGCGTGGGGAGTCAAGTGATGAGGATTGTGACAAAAGACCTAGATGTGGGGAACATCACTCTAAGGTTTTCAATTTGGATGATAAGATTATTAATTTTGATACATTTCGTATCGAAAATCAACAGACGTAGATTGGGATCTACCACCAATCTTCGATGCATGCTTAAATGAAAAACAAGATCTTATAAGAGATCCTATCTACGACGATAATTGAGGTTTTATGGTTGAATTGGTATTTGATGAGAAAAAAATGAATAAATGGAGAATTGATAGGTGACGTTGTTTGTTTAGTCGCTGATCTTAACAATGCACCTATGGTGAGTTCTAGAGCTGAGTCTGAGCAAATTCAACAGGGTTCCATGGCTGAAGTGATTCAATAAGTTTATATGATTAAAAATATTCTACCGACATATAGTGACCCTTTTCTCGAGGGTTTTTTAGTTCTAATGCACAATCATTGTGTTTTGATTAGTGCAGCAACCCACAAGTCTCAGGATCATGTTTACAATATTCAAGTTGAAGAATGTTGCCGGACTAACACCAATTTCATTCTAGCATACTTCAAAATTTGAGAAAGAGTTTTCTTCAACCAAGGGAAAATGATGGTGGGGCAAAATTATTCTTATTTTTTATTTTTATTCAACTAAAAGTGATGTACATTATAGTTTTAGTTTTAGAGTTTATTTTTAGGTTTTATTAGTTTCTTGGGTATTCTAGAGTTTTTATAGTTTTTTATTTATTTCAATAGTACCATTGACAAGTACTATTCATGGGTATTGTTCGTAAGGACATAACTTTCATGACCAAATTTTAGTTTAAGTTATGATATATAGGTTATTTTAATCATTTTAATGTCTTTGAACATTGAATTGTAATTATAAGAGGTGTGTGGGGGCCTTGAGAAATTCAACATATTTTTAGAAATTGAAAGAGATAAAAGCTTAGGCTTTTGAAACCCTAGCTTGGATATAGAGAAGAAACCCTAGGTTTCTTCAACTTGTGCTTGTGTTTGGCATGTTCCTTACTTATTTTATTGTTCCCATAATTTTTTTTATATCAAATCCTATGAGCTAGTTCTTTTCTTCTTCTTTTTTCTTGTTAAACATCCCATAAGCTAGTATTATTTTTTTCTTTTTAAATATCCCAAAGTTAAGAGTTATTTTTTCTTTTTAAATATCCCATGAGATAGTATCTTTCTCCCCATAGTTTATGGCCAATACAAAGAAAATCGTAGCGACTAGACAGAAGGCTAAACAATTTGTCCCACACGAGGTTTGTGGGAGTATACTATAAAAAGGTCAAAGAGTCTCTAAGATGTACCTCACACGTAAGCCAAATCAACGGACCTGAATCAATGTTTGAAAAATCACCGATTTGGATCAGATAGCTCCATTTGATCTGTACTCATGCAAATGGACCTGGCACCACTTTTACACCAAAATAGCGGCTATGCCTCCATTTGCACCACTGTTACACCTAACAGGTCCGTAATACTATTGCCACATACCTATTAGGTCGTAGTGGTCCAAGATGCTAAGGCGACACAGACCTAAGAAATATGGATATGCACCTACATTACAAAAAATTGAGGTATTTTTGTAATTTAAAAATTTAGAAGGATATGAGCAATAGTTTTCCTAGATATTATGACCCTACCCCTTACCTCCTGAACTCTTCTGAATTCTCAGGAACACAGACATTTACCAAGAAGATTTCAGTTTACACCCTGTAACGAAAAATAAATTTCTCCATAGCACACACTATTCACAGAACAACTAAAATAGAATCAATATTTCCAGGCCTGTACTGGGCATAGGAACAATATAATTCCTAATTATTTGTTTCCAAAATTATCAGTATCGTAAAATATTTCCTGAAACATTATTCCGAGAAGATGCTTAAGTTTGAAAATATTGTACATTTTCATTTAACAATGTCAAGGATAACATTACATAAGGGAATGATTCGTATATGACTAGTCCCCCCCCCCCCGGTTGCAAGTTTCCTTGGTGCTTTGCACTTCTGCCATGCTGCTCTTGAGGCTGGTTTCTTTCCTTGAGCTTGTAAAGAACCACCTTCTTCTCCATGAGTGCATATCCTTTCAACAATTTACTTTGATTCGTTGCAACCAGCTCGTACATGGCACAGTCGCCCCAACTCCAGTTTCCAATGCAAATGCCTGCCATAGAAAACATCTTCGACATAGTCACTGATCTCATCGTAGTCATAATGATGTTCTTCCTCTTCTTCTGTAGCTTCCTTTTGAGCCTCTAAAGTTTCTTCTTTGTACCAAGGATCTGCATCGTATGAAGCCCATCTAAGGATGCATGCAGCGTTTCATAGAAACAAAAGATTATTGCCAAAACCAAATTATAAGCATTCAAAAGAGGAAAGTATGCAACTATCTTGCAGAACCCGATCATGATCAATCACAAGAAAATATGTCCATAGTGGAAGCTAGCAGACTAACTGCAATCATACCAAAACCAGCCACATATTCACAACTTTTTTTTTCAAATTTTTTTTTCGGAATCCTATTTCCCCAACCTATTTGGTTACATCAAAAAATTTTCAAAGAAAATTTTCGAAATCCTATTTCCCCAACCTATTCGGTTACATCAAAATTTCAAAATGCGTGGATGCAGACGCACAAATACAACAAAGACGGTTCCCTCAAAGAAATTGATATTAGGGTTTTCAAAGGAACACTGTAAGGAGAGGAAAACCACAAAAAACAACAAATGTAAATTAAAAAAAAAAGGCACAGGGTTTGTGGGAATAATGAGGAAAATAGAGGGTAGGAACCCAAAAGAAATGAGTTAAAAGTATCAATGTTTTAGGGACCAAATTTCATCATAGAAATTCAAGCGAATGAGAAGGACAGATGTTAAAGTGGAGAGAATTTTTTCATTTTTTCTCCTTTTTTCACTTAAAAAAGTTTACCCCACCCAATACTACCACAGAATATTTGAAATTTTGTTTTGTTGAAGACTCAGGTGGATTTAGGACACCGAAAAGAAATTTGGAGAAGTAATGGCAGATATTATTTTCTGACATTACAATAATTTTCAAAAAAAAATTCCCACGCTTTCAGAACTTCTGAGGAATCTGTGCCGATGATCAAAATTGAAAATGAATAAGAGTACCAAAATGAGGTGTAACATGTTGCCTCTCCACCTACCACCCAATTGCCTTCATCTAGGAGTTTTGTCCTCCATAATTATCGATAGGAGAACAAGCATTTTGGGCCAAGCTCTACCAAACCTCTCTGACCCAATCTATCACATTTAGCATTTCTTCTTTCATACTTTACAAGCCCAGCTTAATTTCACATATAAAAGAGCAGACTTTTTCTATTTAAAGACCTTTAGAGAAGTAACATGCTAAGAATAACTCAACTTCATATGCCTCCATTCGCAACTGCTGTGCTAATGTTTATTGTAAAGCAAGTTCAAAGCAAAATGGCTAAAGGGACAAAGTGTGTTAAGTTATTTATGTTTGACAATAAATGTAACATCCAGCCCCACAAAATAAGTCTGTTATCTCACTATGATGATTTGCAAGTTTACCACAAATTATTATCAGTTTGAATTTCATTTCATTTAAACTGATTTCTAAATAGGCAATTGAGTACGTAGTAATCTGGTCCTGTTTTAAAGTTAAGCTGCATAAATCACCATGCAATAATATACACAAAAATGACAAAATTCTAAAACGTAAGGAAACACTAGGTAGAAATAGAAAATACAGACATAAAATAATGATAACATCTGAGAAATGTTCGACCCCAAAATTCAAGGAAAAACCACATAATAAGCATATGTGAATGCCTGCAACTTGAGGAAATATGGTGCCACAAGATCAAAAGAAAACCAAGTAAATACCACATGTATGGTTAAGAAACAACATATGCAGAAACACAAGGCAAAATGGTAAATATGGGTGTCACAATGAGGAAACATAACCTACACAAATCTGGAAAGAAATCTTAGAAGACACTGAAAGACATTAATGAGGATTAAGTATTTTCACCTTTGACCACTTCTCAATACCACCCCTTGGTAACTAATTTATCAAATTTAAACCCTTAAAGATGAAATTCATGAAGGCAACATCCTAGGCAAAAGAAAATTTTAAAGCAAGTAAAAGAATCATTTATATAGAACTAAACCTACACAACATGCCGGTAGGCATGCTCACAACCTGCCACATAAGCAGTTTCCTCAATTAGTATTTTCTCCAAGCTCACAACCTGTCACATGAGCAGTTTCCTCAATTAGTATTTTCTCCAAACAAATAGCACAAAGTTCATGAACAATCGCAGCTTCACAAGAGTTATGTAGAGTATCCTTCTGTTCAACATTAAGGGCCTGAATATGTGAACTAATGAATCAAATTCCACAAATAAGAACATCAATACTAAGACATTGTTACAGCCAGCTACCAAAAGCAGTTTAACCAAAAAAACTTCAGTCTAATAAACCAATAACATGGTACAAGATTCCAATAACTAACTACAGGAATAAACAGAGGTTTTGTCTTGCAACAATATCACTCACACAAACAAACTAAAAGATCGCATCGATCATTTCCTCCCCTTAAGAGTGCAAACCAACAAATCCAAAACATACATCAATTGGGTATTCATGTGATACAAATAAAGCCTTCATTAACATATGGGCTATTTTTCTGAAATTAATCAAATAAAGGATATAGGAACCTTTTAATTAAGAATAGTACAAAAACTGAAATATATGACAACATAATGTTCAACAATGCGGATTCCGGAGCCTAGGTGTTTTGGGTGCCTGTCCACCTAGGCAGCCAGGTGCCCACCCAGGAACAGGGTACCCTCGCAATCCTCAAAAAAATTGAACCCCCACCCCCTCCTTGATATGAGTTTCAAATGAATATATAAGATTAAGATGTTCCTATGTTAGTTTTACAATAAGACTTTACTCATTAAGATATCATATAATTAAGAATTTAAGAATTAAGATATATGATATGATATCATTAAGATGTTAGTTTCAAAACATATACTTGATATTACTTTACACGAAGACTTAAATGAATATGTAAGATCTTAGTTTCACTTTACGAATTAAGACTTAATTCATTAAGATATCACATAGATGCATAATCAAATTATTTATCAAATAAAGAAAAACAAAAATAATAAAATAACGAAACATAACACATTGTACAAAAAAAGAATCTACTATTCATAAAAGAATATAATATATGCTCAATTTCATCGTCCAAATGAGAAAACAAATCAATTAATCACAAAAAAAATCGATTTTTTACCGACAAACATGTAAGTATATCGTAAGAGAAAAAAAAAGCAAAAAGAAATACACATGATTCACAGCATAATATATTGTTGCTAAGTAAAATCAAGTATAATAATACTTTAAAAATATCAAAAATCAAATCGATGTCTGTGCAAACCTCATCTATTGGATTGCCAAAAGTTCTCAAAATCAACTCCTAGAAGCTCCAAATCCACCCACAAACTATTGCCTTTGTTTTGGGAAGAAATCGAAAGACTGAAAAATTTATCGATCTTTCGTTAAATCACAAAAAAGTGGTTTTGGGGGGGTTTTCTCACCCTAAAGACCACAGTTTTTGCTTTGGGGGTTTAGAATACCCCCAAAATCCTTTTGCCCCCAGAAAACTTAAATTTTTTTACTGTCACCGAGGTTTTCTTTTCAGCTCATCCGCAAAGTTTCACATAACGGCACCTAGGCGGGCACACAGACAGTAGCGCCTTGCCTGACTAGGCGGCCGCCCAAAGAGGGCGCATAATGACCCCACCTAAACAATACCTACCCATTTTTTGAATTTTTTCACCTAGGCGATCGGATGGCCGACTTTTCGAATAGTGATGGCAAGATAAAGGCATCGAGCCAAGTTGAAGGCATGGCGCAAAAACTCAAGAATTTCTCAAATAAAAATAATTTCTGGGTAGATTCTCATTTCTATTATTTATAATAAATTTTTGGGAAAGATTCTCAAGTGTCAAAATTGACGAAGTTTTTTTGTGGGGTAAGTAAAATTGCCGAAGTTAGATACATAAAATATTCAAAGTAGTTAAAGAAGGAAATGAAAAATCAAAATTTTCTCCCCTATGCTTTTGTAAAATTTTCATAATATTTTGATGTTACATATGAGTTTTTTTTTTTTAAATTTTCATAAACGTAGTTCGGAAAAAAAATTACATGACCAATAGAAAGCACTGAAAAACATTATTTTGTTGAGAAAAACTATCTGTTTCTTATTGAATGCCATTTCAGGGAACCAAAGAGATCTTAGTGTTGATTTGCCACTTTCAGGGAACCAAAGAGATCTTAGTGTTGATTATGATCATTCTGAGCAAAGTACATATTGTAATGAGGATCACACAATCAGTGCAAAGGCTATACAACTGTGCATGCTTATTTCGTCCTACTGGAATTGACCTCTAATAAATCTGCTCTGTATGGGCACTACAAGGACAGCTAATGGATTCAAATGCAACCCTTGAACTCCAAGGATCCATTAGTTTAAACCAGTGGTTTAAAAAGCGGATCGGTGACCAGGATCGGGCATCCCAAAAATCCATCCGGATCGGCGAATCGACGATCTGGATCGGGAATCAGCTGAATCGGTCGGATTAAACCTTAAAACAAATCCGGAAAAAATATTAAAATTCATTATAAATGTTGTTTTTTAGGAATTCAATAAGAAATGAGGGTACTCCATTAAGAATTTTCATTTCTTTGCATGAATATGTGAATATTGATATGTTCTGCGAATGTATAACCGATATAGAAAAAAAAAGGTGTAGAAATGCATTTAAAATTAGACTCATTTCAGAAGGGCACCCGAGCAGCATATGTACAATAGATGACAAAGTCATTCCAACTTATTTACTAGCTTTAATTTTACTTGAAAATGGTATGTGGTCTATTACTACCTGAGGCTTCAATACCTTAAAATATTAGGTCCAAGGCAATTAAATTATAAGCCTAAGTACCAATCTCAACAGGAGCTCTATTACTCACAATAGACAATAAGAGCCCAAAACAAATTTTCAGATTTATAAACATATGTAGTTTAACACATCAGAATTCTTTTAAATAAAGTCTAAGTCTCCATGGAGTGCATTTATGAGCACTGCAGTTGAGATCCTATGAGATTTCAGTTCCAAGAGGCTGCCAGAAAGGGCCTATGCTTCCAAGAGGAATTTCGAAGAGGTCATCCACCCTCTAACCATCTACAACTAATACCAAATAGCTTTAGATGTTAGGTGATATCCACACATGTATTGTGTATGTTTGCCTCTGAGCATGTTTGCGTGGGGATGGATGGGCAGATGCATGTGTGTGTGGGTGTAATTGGGTGGATGCATGAACGTGTGTGGCAACGAGTGGACTGAGCAAGGATGTGGATCAAGCAAGGGCAGACTTGAGTAATTGAATTGAGGGGTGAGGGGCTACAAGTATGGAAGGCTGCAAGTGAAGTGCGTAAGCATGGAGCGAGCCAAAGAGCGAGTGAAGGAATCCAGGAAGCGAGTAGCAGGCAAGACAATCTGTGTATCTGTTTCGCGACCTGGAGACATGTTCGACGGTCCCATATTCAGACCACCCCAACAAACGAACTGCCTGGATATGGATGGGTGCTAGGGTACGTGTGTAGTGGTAGACATAGGGAGTGACTGAATGACTTCCCAGGAGGTCAATCATCCTAGAGTTGCCACTCATGCCCAATCACAGATTCTAGGTGCGTGTGTACTGATAAGCACAATGATTTAAGTGTATGCGTGTATGAAAAAGAAAGCATGATGTGAGGGGTGTTTGTAGATGCAAACATTGGTGGACAGAGAGATTTATTTGCACACACTCAAAACAGGCTCCACAATTTTTCCTAATCAGGAAAGATAACTATGGATAATGTTGGGGAATCCCATACCATGTGGGAGGGCCTCCCATGGGCTCTGGCCCTTTGCATGAGGGCATAGGAAAAGCGCTCAATGACTTCAGGAGCAAGTCATTGAAAGGCCTATAAGAGCTCCATCCTGAATGGCTAAGGTTTGGTCCTCGACTTCTTTTAGAAAAGAGAGAGAGAGAGAGCGAGAGAGAGAGAGAGAGAGAGAGAATTGTTGTGGGTTGATCTAAGGCTTCTTAGATAGAGAAAAAAATGTCTTAAGAGAGAGAGAACCCTAAGATAGAGAAGAAACCTCTTGGTGGGGGGTGGGGCGAAGGGAAAGCCCAAGGGAAGAAAACCTATAGAGAGTAAGCCTCTAGAAGAAGTGAGAGAGACTTGTAACCCAAGAGAGAGATTACCTCTTGGAAGAAGTTGGTTTATTCCACTTTATCTCTTGTAACCCCATTATTTTTAGTGGACTACTCATCTCTTTCTTTCGTGGATGTAGCTCAAAAAAAGTGAACTACATAAATCTCTTGTCTGATGCTTTTATTTGTTTATTTGTTGACTCACATGTTTCTCCTACTCAAACACACACACACACACACAAAGAGTTCAGTGTTTTGTCCCATAAGTGTTAGGCTCCATTGCACGTATCTGCAAGAGGACTCGAACGGTACGAACCCAACAAATTGGTATAAGAGCTTGTTTTCCTTGACTCCAACACACCATCAGTCATCCCTATCACCACTTGCCAGTGAAGTGAGACCTAGCCATTGTAGAACAAGCATGAAAATATTACCAAGAGACTGGATCCTTGAGACAGGTAAAATAGAGTGTTTGGGAAATACTAGAACATTAGTTCTTGATCGCTGGTGACCCACTCTAACCTCCAGTGACACACCTTGACAACCAGTGATCCACTTTTGACGACCGGTGACATACATTAACCGCCAATGACAGAAGATGACTGCAGGTGACACCTTGAGCACCGATGACCCACCCTAACTACCAATGGCCTGCCTTGACCGCCAGTGATCCATCTTGACTGCCAACGAAAGCTTAACCACTGGTGAAAGAAAAAAAAAGGAGAAAGGAGGTGTGGCATGATTGTTGTTTGTGAATTAAAGATTAATACCAGTACTAGGAGCAAGATGATTTTGCTCAATAGGAATAACTGGATCATCAAGAAATCAAAGATGGACAATCTTCTATATAGCAGAGACTTGTATACACCCCAAGGACGAGTAGAATATGTTGGAACGAAAGATTATTAGAACAAACAATAATGGTCGGAAAATGTTGTCCCCTCATGTGTCAAGTGAGATATCCACCAAGTCA